TATTTATTATATTTTTTTAATATTAATATATATAATAAAATTAAAAATTAACATTAAATTTATTTATTATTTATAAAAAAAATATCTACATATCATAAATATTAAAATTTATACTAAGTTTTTTATTTTTCTACAGTATCTTGTAATTTCGATTCAGCCAACTAATTTTTATTATTTTTTTATTACTTCAGTAAGCACATGCATACTTTTTCACAGAAAATATCACTAATTTCTGGTTGGCCGTTTCTAACAAAGAGAGCTTTGAGGGGTAAAGATGTACCGAACTTTGTTTTCAACAAATGACATCTTAAGGGGACCCAAAAAAAAAAATGACATCTTAAGGGGTCACATCACACCATAAAAAAAAAAATAAACAAAAAGGTCCACATCATGTATATATTTTCCACTTGAAAAAATCACCATTTGATGTTTTCCACCTCATGTATATATTTCATGAAATTCCCTATTTAAAATTTTAGTTCTTTCTAAGCTATTAAATTTAAATCAGACGATGGATGATGTGCAGGCGAGATGCAAAGTGGGCAAGTCAAGAGGCAAAAAACCGAAACATTATTTTTGAGTGGTTTTGTTAAAGTTAGAATCCAAGTTGGCTTAAACTTGATATTTTTAGTTTAATAACTTTATATTTAAATCTTTAAGAAATTAGAAAGGGATTTGAGAAATGAAAAAAATGCATATAACCTAGAACCTGATGTAAGAAATCAAAAAATAAAATAAAATAAAATAAAATAAAATAAAAGAAGTAGAAAAAAGAACACAATCTAGGAAGAAAGAAAACCCTTAGATACCTAGTTGAGATATATAGCTTCTTCAATGTTAGATAGCAAATTTCACCGACTACTTGGAAATAATTAATGTAAATCTATACTCTTTGGAGCAGAGTATGGATTTCACCAAGAAGATGCAATACCTGGAGAAGGGTGCAAGCACAAATCATATAAGTTAATACTACAAAATCATAAAAAAAAGAAAAAGAAAAAAGAGAAGAGGGTAGACAGGCAGATGGAAATGAATACTTACAGAGTTTGTAACTAAGCATGTGTTGTTGATTGCTTCCTCTCGATATGGCTCTGAGTTTCTCTTAATATGCAGTAGATCATGTAGATCTGCTTTAGGATGATTTTATATAGCAAGACCAAAAGGAAAATGAAAATCAACGAAGGAAATGCACAGTAAAACAGAAAACAATAAACGCCGTTGGTGTGCCGTCAACCCCCGATCTTTTAGTTTATTAAAGATGAGGGCAATG